TCTCTTTCTTCCCTACTTCCCTCTTCTTCCTCTCCTCTCCTCTTCTCTTTCACCACTCTCTCCTCCAACCTTCCTACTTCCTTCTCCCCTCCTTTACTCTTTTCTCTCTCCTCTCCTTTCTTTCCTCTCATCCCTCTTCAGATACAATTCAGGGGTAATGTCCGAACAACTCCTCTCTCCAAATTTCCCTATCTGTATTGTATCTGTATCCTACCTTCTAACTGCAAGACAAGAGAGACGCTTTCGTCCTCCAGGCCATTGACAAGCTGGCAGCGATAGCGGCCCTCATCGTCCAAAGTTAGGTTGGAGATGGTCAGCGATGCATCGAACCGGTGGCTGCGTTTCAGGTGAGCCCGGCTGCCCAGTGGGCCATAGGTTTTGTGATGGACCCCGTTGCTGATCAAGATGGCAACTTCCAGGTACTCAGTTGGCTCCACCTTGCTCCATCGGATCTTGTAGTTTTGGGGCACGACCCACAGGATGCAAGGCAGGGTGACTGAGGCCCCCCGCCGGGCCTGCACTACCTTGTTTGTGGGCTCCAGCAAGTACTGGAGGGGGGGAGGAGTTGCTGTGGAAGGAAGAAACAGCTGCTGATTACGGCTGCAAGGCTCCGAGCCCAACAGCAAGGAGGGGAAGCTCTCTTTGCTTGCAAATTCATCCATCTAATTAAGTTTGCCCTGACAGTGAACAAGGCAGGAATCTTTGCAACTGCCACAAACTGTTGGGCAATGCTGGGGAAACGGTCCTTACACCAGCACAAGCTGGGAATGGAAAGAGGAACAATGGGCTTCAGGGGAATGATGGGCTGCAGCAACATTGCAAGCAGGGATGGGTCTTTCCCATCTCAGGGGCAGCCAGGAGGGTGTGAACAACAGCAAGGGTGCTGCAGGCAGGCACCCCCGGGAGAAGCTTGGCCAAGGATGGGCGTTCACGGCATACCTGGCTGAGTCTCACTTGGTCTCTGGTAGATGGCAGGGACTCCGGGAGCAGAAGACAGACACAGGGAAGCCAGGAGCAGCAGCAGAGGCATGCCTTGAGCAGCAGCAGGTGCCTGACGTGCCTGCAAAAGGAGGGGTGCCCTGTCACCCTAGGGGCCACTGAGGCACAGCAGCACCTCACCAACACCCACCAGGAAAGGGCCAGACTGTCTCAGCCACCCGAGACTGACTGGGAGAAGGACGGCCTTCCGGAAGCCTCCAAGCAAGAGAGGACAACCCCCTGAAAAGATGGGGCTCCCCTCGGTGGACGCCTTCTGGGCACCCTGAGAGGGATGCTTCCATCAGGGCTGGCAGAGACAAACCCCAAGACCCAGCAAATTCAAGGGTGGCTCTTGCCCCCTCGCCCTTGCCCTGAACGAGGGGTGACTTGGGGGGAAATGAAAACTGGAGCAGCAGTTTTGCTCCATGCAGAGGACAATCTTAGCGGGGCTCCTTCATCCTTTGGGTGAGTTTGGGCTAACAGAAAAAACAAGGGGATAAACATGAACAGGATCAAGATGATCTGCAAACGTGGGGTCCAAACTGAACCTTGCAGTCAGTGCACACCTTAAAGTCCACCGTCGCTTATATTATCTGCCCTATGAGAGAAATGTACCCAAAATAACCTCTTTGGTCAAAAAGGACTCTGTCAATCAACAAAAGATTGTTTCCTCATTGACAGAGAAGAATGACCCGCTCCAAAAGTGGAGCTTCTTCTGTGCCTTTGAAGAATGAAAATCAAGAAGAATTAAGCTTGGTCAGCCGTTGCCCAGCCGCCTGTTTCTTGCCAGAATGCCAGTTAAAGATGGAGACGATGGACGTCCCTATTTCTGAATCTCTGGGATTGCCAGGCAGTTTTTATTTCATGCTGCCACCCCCTTCTAGTTTGGTCAGCGTCCTTCCTCCCCCACAGAGGAGCAGCAGAGCTCTTGGGGTGCTCATGCGCAGGGGAGGGGATGGAAGATGAGGATGAAATGGGAGCCAGAGGCCCCAAGGCAAGGACTCACCTCTCCCCCCCACCCCAATATTTGCTGAACTCTTCTCAGGTTGACCCTCTTTTTTCTCACTTCCACTTCCGCAAACTTCCTTTGGAAACAAAAATATGCCAAATAAATTCTGGATGCTTTTGCTTTGCTCTACTAACTCAAAATTATTTTTACAAATGATTTTCCGAGCAACTTTTTGATGAGATCTGAGGGGACGAGCTCACAATTTCTAGTCTGTATTTAATGCTGTTAATTTTAACATTTTACATTTATGCCTTTGCACGCCAACCAGAATCATTTTGGATAGCGAGATGGGTAGCATATAAATGTAATAAACAAATAAATAAGAGCTGTACCTGGTGCGGTTCATCTACAAATCCCCAGCCAAAAACAGAAACTGGTCACTTTAAAGTGGCCCAGCCATCGTTCTTCTTCTGAATCCAGCCTCAGGGACCTGCCCAAATCCTTGTGCAGGAGGAGAGATCTCCCGGCGCCTCTGAGGAAGGGCTACTGGCCACATCAGGACCGATTGGGACTCAGAGTCTGAGAAAAGCAGGGTCTTCTCACACCAGCATTCTTCTGCTCTTGCTCGTCCTGTAGGGAGCCACCCTTGGCGTCTCTCTCTGCGTTCTGTCGCTTGCACCCCCAGCACCACACGGCTTTGCTCCAAGAATGCGTGAGAACAAAGGAGAGGAAACAGCTCACCATTGTTTGGCCAAGCAAACAAGCCTGCCTTTATGGAAGAGTGATTCAGACAAGCCATCAACACCCTTCTGGTGCCAGGTTGGGGATCTACAAGACCAAGGACCACTGCAGGGATGGTGAAAGCCCCAGAGATGTTCCCATGATGCACCAGCTCCAGGTACTTTATGCTCCCAACTACAGGAGCTATGCTCCTTGAGCCTCAGCATTCAGGCACCTCATGTAGCAGAATCTGGCACCTCTCCAGGCCAACTCATGTCCATCGTTTGGGTGGGAATTTAAAAATCAGCCTTTGGGGCTTTCTCCTGCTCCCCCACTCAGAGAAACCCCCTTTAGAGGTTTGCAGACTGCTCTCCTCTCTCCCCCCCTTTTGCAAACCAAGTCTGCCCCCACCCACTCAGAGCCCCCTTCCGGGGCTCGCTTTCCATTATTTTTGTGCTCCTTGGGGGGGGTCTCTTCATGAGAGCTTCTCCCTGCCCCTCTTAATGCCTGGTGCTCAAAATGATGCACGGTTCCAAGGGTGATTTGAACCCCTGGAGGTCCAGTGGAAGGTTCACCTCCTCTAATGTGGACCCAACACCCCTCTTGGTGCAGCCGGGACTGCTGGCTTTTTCTTATTCCTCCTGTTTCGGTGGCCAGTTGCCAGGAGCTGCAAAATCTGTGAGTGAGAAAGAAAAGTCAAGAACCTTTTTCTCTCCGATCTCAAGAAAGCTTCTATGATATACTTGGATCTCTGCATGAATTTTAAGCATAGTTCCATAGCAATCTTCTCATTTTTTTCTCTCTCTCTCTATATATATTTTAATGCTGTTCTTCCACAAATGTTGTAAATACAGACCCAAACTCCATTTAAACTTCACCGAATGGAAAATACAGTGAGAACAATCAACCAATGAAATAGAAGCTGCCTCCAGATGTTGTTGGTGCTTCATCACTGGAGGCTTTCAAGAAGAGACTGGCGGCCATCTGTCAGAAATGGTGTAGGGACTC